CCAATTTGGGAAAAATTGTTTCAGATTTCAAGTTTTGTGCGTTTTGACTGGATATTTTAAATCAGCACTTTGGAATAGACTAAAGTGGGGACGAGTAGATTGAGCGAATTTGTGTTCTGGAAGAAAACAAAACCCATTTGATTAGCTAATTTGTTCAAAATTTTTCTGTAAAGTTTTTATTGACTTAATATTGTTAAAAAATTAGGATACCACTCGTAGTTGTATAGGAGTGTACTTAAGCTAAGAATAGATTAAGATTACGGATGATTAAGATTCCTACTAAAACAGTAGGCTTTTATTTAATACTAAATAAAAGACGGTGATGCTAACTAAAGTAAGAGAGGTTTAAAAGATTGAATTGGTTTCGGTTTGTTTTTTTACGTATCATAAAAGATAGTGGCCAATTTTGAGTCTACCAAAAGCCGTTGCGCTTTTGGCAGGTGTATAAATTAACAACTTAAAGGTCAACGATCAGTAAAGATCAGAGGTTAAATGAACAAACAATAATACTTTTACATTCCCCGCATAATTTATCTATAATCTATCCCTTTCGCCTCACAAGAGGAGAACAAAACAAAAGTAAATAAGCGCTAGAATGAATGACTAAGTAGGCGCATTGTCTAGGACCCCCGATAGTGGATCTAGAACAGTAGGAACACAGACTTGGTAAAGCACCGAGGACCAAGAAAGTGTATTGATACTAAGTAAATTTACACGGTTGTCAGGTCGAAAGAGCGGGTGTACGGTACGGGAAAGACCGATGAACGGACCCGGTGGGCCGGAAAGCATGTTCATCCGCAATAACAAAAATTCAAAAACAAACCACCTTAGATCGAATAGTATGTTCTCGTCGGGTGAAAAAATATAGACTGGTTACTATGGGCGAGCAAGAAACTGGAATAGCACCAGGGTAAATTGAGCAGTAAGGTAGGCAGCGAGTTATCCTTAGAATAGTCAAAATAAGTGGGTAATACTAGGATGGATAAATCTAATGGTTATCCGGTGGTAGCGCTCAATGGGTGAAAAGAATTTTACCGACATTTTGGCGAAATTATATGGCTAAAGCAAGGTTACAAGTGTGACCAATCAACTTATTAGCTTAATATGACAGCACTGGAAGTTTGTATGACTCTATAGCAATGGAATGTTAATAGCATTCGGCAATACACAAGATACTAAAGATACTAAAAGTTTTGTAAAGAAGTTTTTGGGAGTTCAAGAATGTTTATGATAACATCTGGATTGGAGCTCCTACATCTAATTAGTTTCCCGATTTGCTGCCTTGTTTATTGTCTATCTCCTTAACTCCTCCAGCGTCATTGGCCGTCCAAGGAGTTCTATCACCGAAATGATAGAAGAGGTGTTCAGCCAGTCTGGGTCAGGTACAATGGGGACAAATGTAGAAGTTGAGGTTTCATAAGATAGGCCCGATGGGTTGAATTTCGTGGAACAGACATCAGGACTAAATTTGACTTTCTTTTCGGGAGTCTTTTGATCATCTGTTTTCGAGGGCTTCGGGTCACTTGGGTACGCATAGTTTTCTTCCCGCAAGTGAACTATAGTAGGACGCGATGATGAAGGTGGTGTTAATGTTGTCAGGTCTACTAGGTCGACATGATGGCTTTCCATTTCTACGGTAGTTGCTTCTAACGTTGAACATGCTGGGACTAAACTAGGTGAACCAAATTCTGGAGCATCACGATCTTCATCAGTTAAATCAACTACACTGGTGAACACTCTCTCACCTAGCATCTTGGGAGGCTGCCTAGTTCGCATAGGTCTGGTGTTCTGACGTGTATAAATTTCTGACAATTTTTTCGCGGGTGGTGATTTCATTGGTGATGACGCCTTTCTTTTAGCGGTACCGGACAATTTCTGTGTTTTCGTGGTACGGTCAGGGTGTATTTGTTTGGATTCCGTCCCCGCCATGGCGATTGGTTCTTCAGCAGACTTGGAAAACTCTCCTCCGGGATTCTCTGGGAGAAACGGCATTTCTATACACGCTTTATTGGCCTCCTCCATAGTGTCCAAGTGAATCAACTGTGGGATCGCTTGTGAGTCTCTTTCATTATCGCCAGAATCTAAGTCGATCAAAGGAATCGGATCTAAATCGACCTTCTGATCAACGTGGTCTGATATTTCTAGCTTAGGATCTGTTCGTTCGGAGATTATGTGTTCGTCTGATTTTGTAGCTTCGAGTAATGTTTTATCCTTGAGGTCTTTTAGTGAAATTAAGTCGCTATCGTTGTCGTCTGAAATCTCTTCATGTGGTTCGATCATCACTCCGGGTTCATTTAAACGACTTTTATGAAGGTCGGCTTTGCCCGACGGGCTAGATTCTTGGTCACTTTCGAGGCCTATCGGGGTTCTCAGTCTCTTTCTCTGGTCTTCTTCCTCTCTAAGAAGAGTTTCCCTCGAGCTGTTCATGGCCGCGTTTCGTCTCGCAATATCAAGCTCTTCGAATTTCCACTGAAGATTTCGTTTCTTTTGGGTTGTTGTTGAGCTTTTAAATCCGACATTTCTTGGTGGTTTTGCAGTTTTCCTCAATCCTTTAGTCGCATAAAATCTAACCAGTTGGTTTCGTTTTCTTGGACTTGGTTTCTTCTGAGTGCACTGTCTTTTAATGGCTAAATCAGATTTACGTATTATTTTACCATTTTTTAAAGTCACAGTGTGATCTGATTCCCTTACGATTTCGTCCTTGAGTACTCTATAGTATGGTTCATTTTTTGTTCTATGCTTGATTTTTCGATAAACAATGGTCTTACCCGACAGGTTGTTCAGAATTGAGTCCTTTATGCCCAAGGCATCTCTTTTTTCTGACCGAGAGAGCACTTTTACTGGGGATCCAGCACTGGTTGGTACATATCTCACAGCATTTGAGATATCCTCCGAGGATGATGAGTTTTCATCAACATCTCCATCTTCTATATCGTCGGGGGCGTCCCAGTCGTGTCTTCGCTCTCGGCTCATTAGTTTTTTGCCCTTATCTAGACATAACAAAGTTTTATTCCAATCAAGGTTATTCGAAGAGGGTGATTTGACCAAATTATGCCAGATGGTGTTAGGGGATCTACCAAAATGTGCTTCGAAAGGAGAGCAGTTAAGCGACTGCTGGGTTACTGTTCTTAAGCATTTTATTATTTTCAGGAGTGCAGATTCTAGTGAAGGTTTTGGACGTTCTTGTGCCATAACCAAGAGTCTTTCCTTAATGGTCCTGATTAGACGTTCCACTAGTCCGGTAGCTCTATGATCACCCACTGGGCTAAATATCACCTTTATGTTGTGATCGTGGCAGAATTCTCTAACTTCCTTGGAGATAAAACCAGATCCTTGATCTGTTCTAATGGTCTTAGGTATCCCGTGTAAAGCAATGTATTTACTAAGGAAGTTTATTATAGATTTGGCCGATGTGCTGGATGTTATTTGAGCTGATGGGAATTTTGAAAATCTGTCAACACACACCAATATGTATTTTTTTGTTCCCCATACTAAAGGTAACGGACCGGCGAAGTCTAATTCCATTTCTTGGTTTGGCTCTACGACCATTGGGAGTTCCCCTAGGGTATTGTGTTTTATAAGAGGTTTCATGTTTTTACCTGCTTTCACGCACTCAATACAGTTCTCGCCGTGGACTTGGATTTCACGGTAAATTTTCGGCCACCAGATGTATTGAGTTGCCAGACTTTTCATTGCGAACTGGCCGGGGTGAGCTTCGTGAAGTCTGTTGAGCATAGTCGATCTTAGGCATGCTGGGATTACTAATCGGTTGTCAAGATGAAGACATCCTCCACTGACATGTAAATTATTTAAATATGATTTGTAGTAGTTTCCCAGTTGTAGAATATCCTGTTTTCGGTCTTCCTCGATTGCTTTGATTATCTTTTTCAGAACTAGATCTTGTTTTGATAAGAGGGACATAAATTTTGAATCAAATATTTCCGGCCAAGAGAAAGGGAATATGTTAACTGTTTTCTTTTTACTAGGTGATCTTTTCTCGGGATTATCCGACGGGTTACTAGTAGTTGGTGTTAAAACGTCCGTGTTTTCTTTAGTAGTAAGTTCCTTTTGTTGGTTAAATTCAATTTGTTCTGCCATTTCTTTCAAGATGTTAAAATTCGTTAAAAAAATCGTTTAATTTGCAAGATGAGTCACACTGTTCTGTTCGCGAGTGAGAATTTTGACACACTGAAATATTTGAGTAGTTAGCTATCGCTTGGAAAGTTTCGGCGGCATTAGCAATTCGATTCTCACGTTCTATTTCTTGACTGGTCATATGATCTGTTGACTGGCCAATCGTATTACAGGAAGTGACGTCATGTGCTAAGAAATGTTGAGAGAACTTATTTCTTATTTGCGCCCACGAATTTTTTGGCATTAGATGATCAAAACCTAGGAGCGTACTAATCTGATTTACTGAAGCGATAACAAACTTTTCGTCATCCAGAGAAACTGGTACGGGTTCACCCGATGGGTGTCGGGATATATAATCAACAAATCCCATATCTTTACCGGGTAGATGTTCTACAGTAAAGTCGAACGGTAAAAGTTTATCCGCCCAACGGGTGAGACGTGATTGGGCCGTTTTGGTGTATTTATCGTCTTTCAGTGCTCCTATTAGAGCTTTGTGGTCTGTTAAAATTGAGAATTGTTTACCCAGTAGATAATTTTTAAAATGATCTAGTGCCCACACTAATCCCAGTAGTTCGAGTTCATTAGTGCTGTATTTTAATTCGGCAATATTCAAAAATCTGCTAGCAAACGCTACTGTCTTCCAATTCCCCCGATGGTCTTGTTCGATGGACGCGCCCAGTCCTAAATGTGAGGCATCGCATTTCACCCGAGTGTTCAGTTTTACATCGAAATGGTGGTTCGTCACCGTATTACAAATTTCGTTCTTGATTTTTTCAAACGCTTCCGTATGTACTGAGGACCACTTAAATGGTTTATTTTTTTGCATAAGTTCTCTGAACGGTGTTGATAGGGACGCTAGATTTGGTATAAACTTATTAAATTGGTTAATCGATCCCATTAATGATCTGATATCTTTGATGCAATTTGGTTCTTTTAGATTTCTAATTGCGTCAGATTTATGTATTAATGGTGTCGTCCCTTTTGCGTCGATTCTGAATCCCAACTATTCTATGTTGTGGGTTAAAAATGTGCATTTTTCCCATTTTATGGCTAGTCCCTCGTCATCTAGCGTTTTTAACACATTAATGACTAGCTTTTTATGTTCTTCCTCGCTACCCACGGTGGCGATTAGGATGTCGTCAAGATAACAATGAGTATTTGGTAGTTTTTCCGTCAAACGGTCCATTATTCGTTGAAATTCATTAGGCATATCGCCTAGTCCGTAGAATCCGGTTTTGAAACGGTATGAACCCGTTACTTCTCCCCCCACAATGTTAAAATTACACTGATTGCTTGCCTTTTTAGAAAGCGGTATTTGGCTGTAGGCGTATTTTAAATCTATCGATGAAAACCAGATATTTCTTTGATCGTGGCCGCTAATAGTAACTGCTACGTTGTCAATTAGTTCAAATAGATTCGGCATTTGATATCTATTGCGAAATATCTGTTTGTTTAGTAGTTTTGAGTTCAATGCTAGTTTGATTGATCCGTCCCTTTTTGCTGTAATCACGATGGGGGAAATAAAACAATCTTCAGAGCATCTAGATAGTTTTTCGATGTGTCCGTCTCTTAATAATTGGTCGATACATAGTTTGACTTTGGGGAGAAGATGGATCGGGATACGTTTCCCTTTTACCTGTATCGGTTTTATCGGTTCGTTAAAATAAGTATTAACTACGTAGTTTTTTGATCTACCAGTTCTTTTTATGAGGTCTGAAAAGTGCTTTGATATGTTAATTTAAACTCACTTTGAGATGGTGTCTCTTGGTTTTGATCCTGTTGGTTGTCCGATGCGAATTTTATTTGATTGACGTTTATCCCAATGGGTGATACTTTCTGATCTTCCCGTGACTTTAACCCGTTGGGTGGAGGTTGTTTCTGAAATACTACAATGCCCAAATTCGGTAAGATGTCGTTTCCTTGTAGATTTCTTTCAGCCCCTTCAGTGATAAAAAGTTTTTGGTCATTAGCCTCCCATCCTTTCGATTGGATTTTCACTCGAACTCTTCCAATGATATTGATCGTACTCCCGAAGCCCTTTCTTTGTTATTTCGTCCACAGGTTCTAGCTTTAAAAATCTATCTCGTATCTTCAATTCGTGTAGTAGGTCTTTTTTCATGAAGGAAACTGGACTTGCGGAGTCAATTTGAATCTCGGTGTAGTAAGGGTTGAAATTTCCCAGAGATACTTTTAGTGTCTTTTTCAATTCTAATCCTTCGTGGTTAAATACTGTTCTCACTCCACGCTCTATTTTGTCTTCTACGGCATTTATTTGATTATCTGTGTCAACGGCTAGAACTAGGAAGTCGTCTAAGTTAACCTCAAATTCGGGATTTTCCTGCGGGTTGGTCCGGATATTTTCGTTTTTTTGGGGTACACGATTCTGATCAACGATGTTAGTTTGTGTTTTTGCTGAACTCCTACAGTGTTTGGCAAAATGTCCTTTCCGTCCGCACGTATTGCAGTTTCTATCTCTAGCCGGGCATGTGGATAGGTGTCCTTTTTTGAATTGTTGACCGCAATTGCGGCATTTGTTATTTTCGACGATATTTAGGGTTGGTTCGTTCTTCACGTATTGTGGTCTTGGTCCTGGGTTGTAAGTTGGGAATTTTAGATACTGTTGATGGATTTTAGTACCTTTTTCATGAACTAGTACGTAAGATAGTACGTTTTCTGGGGTCAAATATTCTATACATAGTTTCTTTTGGATCTCGACATTTCTCATGTTTGTGATGAAAATGTCTCTTACTAGTTCTGACTCGAGTTCCCCCAGTTTACAATTTTTTGCTAGTTCTGAAAGAATTTCATGGAATTTTTCTAAGGACTCATGTTCTTTCTGTCTTCGGCCAAAAAATTTAAACCTTTCGTATGTTAGGTTTGTAGTGATCGTGAAAGTAGTTTTTAATAGTTCCCAAAATTCTGCGAAATTGATATCCAGAATTCTTTTGCCAGGATTTTTATGAGAGAAGCATTTCTGTCCTTCTTTTCCGAGTGCTAGGTATAACTGTGATTTTAGCTTCTTGTCAATGTCTCCGATTTGAAGTCCGTTAAATTTGGCGTTATCTTCCGCCCTTCTCCTTCTTAATTCTTCGTTATAATTTTGTACTGCTACTCTGTGATGTTCCTCTTTTTCGGCCCGACGGGCCTGATCCTCGGATGGGTCCGGTGGTTCTGCCGTAGGATAAATTAGTTCGTTTCTTATCGGTGGGTTAATTACATCTTCGATGTCTACGGAGTCTTTCGCAATAATTGTCAATTGAAACTTTTCCGCCCACCGTTCCCAGTCATGTTGATTTTCGTTTGATGAGTTGTTCCAAAAAAACTCTAATCCACGTAGATTCGATTCGTTAGACTGCGCCATGTTAAAAATTTAGGATACCACTCGTAGTTGTATAGGAGTGTACTTAAGCTAAGAATAGATTAAGATTACGGATGATTAAGATTCCTACTAAAACACTAGGCTTTTATTTAATACTAAATAAAAGACGGTGATGCTAACTAAAGTAAGAGAGGTTTAAAAGATTGAATTGGTTTCGGTTTGTTTTTTTACGTATCATAAAAGATAGTGGCCAATTCTGAGTCTACCAAAAGCCGTTGCGCTTTTGGCAGGTGTATAAATTAACAACTTAAAGGTCAACGATCAGTAAAGATCAGAGGTTAAATGAACAAACAATAATACTTTTACAAATATAGTAGACTGTTATTGTGAAGACAGAGACTAGAACTAACAGAGTAAATTGTACTCTTTCTTACCTGGGAAGCGTCTGGTAACTTTTTCCATAGTCACATCCAGCAGTTCCCACTCGGTACTTTCGTAACTGGAGTCAGGGTCATTGAAAAGAGCCCCAGTGGCCTCCAGTTGTACTTCGTCTGAGTCATAGTTGATGGACACGAAGTGCAACGGGCAGTGTTGGGTGTCGTAGGGGAACAAGTTCATGTCCATGTCACACGAGGCAAGATAGATGGAGGGAGGCAGCCATGCCACCAAGCCTGAAATCAGTTGGATAAAATTCACACACGCCACAACTCAGAACAGAAGTCTGGCATACTATAATTACTCGAAAAAAAAGGCCACTTTTGTCCACTTTTTGGATAGTTTTGACCAAAAACCGGCGTTATTTTTTGGCGCTGGATGCCCCCTCCCTTCATCCTCCCAAAAATCAGTTGGCCGAAAACGGGTGTCGTAAAGCTTAGAGGTCGAATTCCTTACGGGTGAGCTTCCACCAGCTTCGTCCACAAACCATGCATCAGTCCATAAATCTTGAATCTTTCTATAATTCAGTCAAATTTTTTGTATCAATTAACAAAGTGAAGGCACTAGTCAAGACTATGTATGGCAAATTTGACTTAAGAGTCACGACTATCTTTGCTTGAAAGTTTCTTCTACTGCTAACCGGCTTGGGATTGTTCTAGGCGTTAAGAACAGAATCGTTGCATTTGTGCTTTGAGATACCACTGTTTCATTAATTAAAAAAACTTTTGCACAACCCATTTTGCGACTTAGCGCGATCCAATTTTAGCTATGTTGTGACTTTGCGGGACCCATGTTACGAATGTACGCGACTCGAACCTCGTTAGGAATAATTCAATTATTCGATACAGTGAAGAAATACATACTTAATCACTCACTGCATCAGGATAGCTAGAACAGGCTTTTCAACCTAACAAGTAGCTACCCTCCGGGATAACTATCACAATTAAGTAACGACAACGGGTAAACAAATCAGAAAAAGTTGTCGACCAGCTGTACATTGTCTAAAATGTAATTTCTTTTGAAAACCTTTAAAAATTTTGACAGCTGTTCTTGAGAGTACGTTTCGATTTTATCGGGTAGGAGTTTATTTGACATCAAAAAATTGAAACATTTAACGATTTTGCATGAAAGGGAGTTTTCCATAGTTTTTGTCCTACAGCGATAAAACGGAATCATTCCGTTAGAAGTAGAACGTGTATTTCGTTTATTACTATAATTACTGACGTTTAGAAAATCAAGAGGTGAACGTTTTAAATATTGAAAAATGGTTTCTTTAAAAAGTTGAGTTAAATAAATTTCATGAACTGTATCAATGCCCAGATCATTAAACTTTGTTGTTATGTGATCGTATTTGCGTTTGAAGAATATAGTACGGAGAATTCTTTTCTGGCAGATATAAATTTTTTCTAAATTTGTTTTGCTAGTACTCCCATAAACAAGCAGACCATATGAAATTATAGGTACCACATATGCCAGGTAGAACTTTAACAGCATTTTGCGAGAAAAAGCTACCCTGCCCTTATACATAATTCCGTTAAATCGGCCTAGTTTTCTGCACACAGTTTCAACATGGTCTGTAAATTTGAGTTGACTATCAATGATAACACCCAAGTATTTGAAACAATTTGTAAATCCTATGTTTTCACCCGCAAGTGAAAAGTCATTATCCAAACATTGTTTACCAAATGGTAAGATTTTACATTTTGTAGAGCTTATCGACAATTTATTTCGCACACACCAGTCATCTGTTTTCAGCAAATCATTTTTAAAGTAATCATTTACCCTTGTTGTTGGGAAAGAAGCAAGAATAGCAGTGTCGTCCGCAAAAAGACTTAATTCCGATTTTGAAACAATTTTATTTATGTCGTTAATGTAAAGTAAGAAAAAAAGGGGTCCAAGAACAGAGCCCTGCGGAACTCCGTACGATATTACCTGTTGCCTAGAAGTACCGTTCGAATTAACAACAAATTGTTGTCTGTTTGTCAAATAACTTAATATCAATTTGTTGAATTTTCCTCTAAAACCGTACGCGCATAATTTTTCCAGAAGAATGCAATGGTTAACTGTATCAAATGCTTTTCTCAGATCAATAAAAAGTGCCAAGCCCATATTTTTTGTCTCAATCGTTTTTCGCATGAATTCAGTAACTCGTAGGACAGCATGGATACAAGAATGTTTTTCGCGGAAACCAAACTGTTCCGGTATTATAATATTGTTTTTGTTAATGAAAACTAGCATTCTTTTATAAATTATTTTTTCAAAAATTTTGCTAAAAACTGTCAAAAGACTAATAGGTCGATAATTACTGGGATTTTCTTTTTCTCCTTCTTTCAGAAAAGCGACAATTTTTGCAATTTTACAAGCATCTGGAAAATATGCTGTATCAATACATTTATTAAAAACGTTTGCCAGGAAAACAGATATGACTGGTGAACATAATTTAATCATTTTAGTTGAAAGACCATCATGACCACTTGAAGTTTTAGTTTTTAAGGCCCCTATTACCTTAAACACTTCATGTTCATCCGTTTTAAAAATTACAAAACTTGATATGTTTCTGTCTAAGTTTTGAGAAGCAGAACCAACAAGTGGCAGAGAATTGCTCAGGTGCTTACCAATATTGACGAAGAAATCATTAAGTAAGTTGGGTTCAATCTCTTTTTGGGCTGGTTTTCGTTTTCCACAAAAACGATTAAAAGCTTGAAACATTTGTTTTGATGATGTACATTTTTCAATTTTCTTATCATGATAGTCTCTTTGAGCACGCCTAATTGCCATTTTTACCTTATTTCTAAACATTCGGAAGCAATTAATTTTCTCTAGTGAAGGTTTCTTAATCATTTTGGCATGAAGACGATCTCTCTTTTTACACATTTTTTTGATATCATTGGTGATCCAGTCTTTGTGTTTTTTCCTTAGTAATGTTTGTTGGGGGCAAAAACGGTCAAAAACATCCAGACACATTTTTGTTAAATCGGTCAACATGTCATCAATTGTTGCCATATTGCAATTATTGAGATTTTGATGCAAAACAAACAAGAATTTCAAAATATTTTCATTTCTGTTCAAGATTTTCAAGTTTCGACCTATCTTAAAATTGTCACTATCATCCAAAAAAGGTCCAATAGAGGCAACTAGCGCATAATGATCACTTAGAGAAGTTTTTAAAGTAGTTACGCTCATATCATATTTACTGATGATATGATCAATACAGGTAGAACTAGATGCGGTTTCTCTTGTTGCTTCACTATTTGATATGAAGAATCCAAAAAAACTAAGTATCAATTTATATTCATCAATTAATCGAGAATTGCGCGACACGTCCAGAATATCTAAATTCATATCTCCCACAATGATTGAGTTCTGACATTGTTTTGAATTCAAATTCACGAGTAAATCCTCAAATTGCGTTAAGAAATGCTTTGAATTGATTGATGGCGGTCGATACATCAAACAAACGTTTAGTTTCTGTTTACTTCCTAGAGTTAAAGTTAAGACAACATTTTCTAGTTCATTCGATAAAATTTCGTGCGAAAAGTCAATTTGATTTTTTATGAAAAATGCTAAACCCCCACCCCTACTTTTTTGACGGTTAACAAAAACTCCTTCTTGGTAGCCGTCCAAGTTATAAAGTTCCAAGGGATCATTGTCACTTAACCAAGTTTCGCATAAGGCAACGACATATGGTTGCCATTTTAGTGAAGCAACAAGAACTTTTAATTGGTCATGATGGTTGCGCAGTGATTGAATATTTAAGAAAAGTATGTCCCCGTCGTTACCCATTAGAAATCCCTTTAAAATCAAAAATAAAGCCCCCTCCCTTCATCCCCCCCCTTCATCCTCCTCCCTTCATCCCCCTCCCTTCATCCTCCCAAAAATCAGTTGGCCGAAAACGGGTGTCGTAAAGCTTAGAGGTCGAATTCCTTACGGGTGAGCTTCCACCAGCTTCGTCCACAAACCATGCATCAGTCCATAAATCTTGAATCTTTCTATAATTCAGTCAAATTTTTTGTATCAATTAACAAAGTGAAGGCACTAGTCAAGACTATGTATGGCAAATTTGACTTAAGAGTCACGACTATCTTTGCTTGAAAGTTTCTTCTACTGCTAACCGGCTTGGGATTGTTCTAGGCGTTAAGAACAGAATCGTTGCATTTGTGCTTTGAGATACCACTGTTTCATTAATTAAAAAAACTTTTGCACAACCCATTTTGCGACTTAGCGCGATCCAATTTTAGCTATGTTGTGACTTTGCGGGACCCATGTTACGAATGTACGCGACTCGAACCTCGTTAGGAATATGTAATTTCAGCCTGGGTGTTCAGAAACATTTTATTTTTCAACCTCGTTACATATATCACAAAATGCCTACCATCTGGACTTATGAGGACGTTTGCGGGGAAGGTGGGTTCGTAGGCGCCGTCGACGTTGTTGAGCAGCATCACGTCTGGCAGCCACACTGTGTCGTATGGCACTCGAAAGTCCGAGATGCCCTCATACATCTCGGGAGGATACGACATGCGCTTATCGTACCTGTGAATAATTCAACATGTGGTGATACTCTTGTCGTTCCTGCAAATAATATAAAAATGGGACGGTTAATGAAGTTTTCATGCATCGGCTTCGTAATCGAAAGGTTTGAGGTGTGAGGTCTGTCAGTATTTAATGCTTGAGGGTGTGGAAACATTACCATGCCCAGCAGAATAGCCAAAAAGTGCATGTAATTATGAGCCAGTGGCTTAGTGGATCTCTATAAAGAGCATGTTAATCAGCTGGCATGTTGGTCCTTTAAAAGTTTATAATATATTATAATCAACTTTTAGAAAGAAAAAAATGAATTTCAATTGATTGAAATCCATTTTAAGTTCTGTAAATGTAATTCTAATGCATTATAAAGAAAGTATTCTTGGCAATGTAACCCATTTTAGGCATTTTTGTTCATGAAACTCCAGTGTGGGTTCCCACAATGAACTTTCGAATGAGAGCAAACTACAGGGTTTTTATAATTGTCAATCACTGCTTTCTTCTATCAATAAGAATTCATACCAGTAGCACTGTGGCCATATGCTCAGTTTGATCGTTTGCGACTTTCCATCTAAGGCCACTATCTGGGCCACAGTCAGACTGAAGTTCACTTTGATGGGCGCTTTGTTCTCTGTCGGGGGCCGAGAGTGTATCAAATACTTGTGATAAGTTTCGTTCTTGAACAGATAGTCGGCCAAGATGTACTCGTTTGCAGAAAAAATCTCAAAGAGACGGGTAATAGTTAAAATAAGGAAAATTTTGATCATTTTGGCAGGACAAAATGTACAATTAGGTCAAAACTCATAAACAAATTTGGTAACGTAAACTTCCGGGTGATTTTCTGTAAATCTGTGAATCGCGATAAACATGGAAGAAGAACAATTGAATGCTAGTCTATAGAATAACTAAAGGTACAAAAGACCTGTGAAAAATGGATTCCAAAATGTTAATAAATTCCACGAACTGTGGTAAAAGTTAAGCGAATTGATTTCTACAAAAGAAACAGAGTAAAGTTAATCCGCGGAGGATTAGTGACCCGGGAGCCCTCTGGGTTTGTTCAGACTGACTTGGGGGATATTTGAGCCCAAAATCCTCCTTGGCAATAGCTGACTGATCAAATATTGCCATGTATTGTAAAAGCAAGTACTTCACCTGAACTTAGTTAGTTCTATAAGTACATGGTGTTTCTTAAAACAAAAGTGCTCTTTTGTAGTAAAAGTGTGTACAAGCCTATGAGAGTTCGTAATAGTTCTTTCTGGGAATATTTAGATGAACATTTTGCCTATCTTTTCCAATCAGGTAGAAGATTAGGGTTCAGCTGCTTAAAAAGTGGACTGGTTTCCATTATAGTCCGCCTCAAGTTATTGACTTCACCCGAAAAAAAATCACGGATTGAAGGGAGCGTATTTTTTGTTCGTGCGGGCGTATTTAATTAAGAAAAATCCAAACAAGTTTATATTTTTTCAAGCAAAAGATCTGTGCGTTAAAACACATGTAATTTTACAATATAATGAAAATATTGGACTAATTCGTGCTCAAGACAATTGTCAAAACATTCAGCTGCCAAGAATTTGAAGATTTCTCTAACGTAATCTCGAAGTAGACCATTGTATTAAGGACAAGGAAAAGCTATGTAGCAGCTGTTCAAGTTGTTGTCAAATGAAGGTGAAATAAAAAATTTTTAAAATGAAAAGATTTTTGCTTCATTTACACTTCGTTAACACATTTGCTGCAATCGGAATGCTCTGTGATACTTGAAAATCAACCATCTGTTCTTGCTTAACTCCCTAATTTTGTTCCAGGAGTGCGCCCGTTTCAATGAAAGTCTCCAAGCCGAAAAATGCCAACTGAGAGCCCAGATCGACACCCTGCAATGTCAAATCCAGCCCGACTGTTGTTGTATGCAGGTTCCCAATGTTGCAGTCGATACCTGTAACTCATTGCAGGGACCAGGCGTGTGTTGCACTGGTGCGATGGAACTACTCAGCAGCTGGGCCAATGAGAAGCGCTGTTTGCTGGGGACTATTCACAGTTTGAAGGAACTGATTTCGAAGATCAACAGAGCTGATTTCGGCGTATGTGTGTAGAGTTTGAACATGGCACAGATTATTGGTGTTTTGGAAAGTGTTTTCTCAAACAATCTGCTTCTTATTCCATGTTAAAAATAGGGAATATTTGGTAGATATATGATTTTGTTTGGAGCACTTTGCAGAGAAACATTTACTGAGGATTTCAGGGATTCGACCCCCTGCCGACCCAAAGGCATCGATCCCCCCTTTGGTACTTTTTAAGAAATTCATTTTTGGCTAACCGACCCTAAAATTTTTCTAAAGGCGCCTTTGGCGCCGATATTTACTAACTTTGAAGGGGAGCTCGCGCCAAAAAAACGCGATTTTTTTTGTCAACATTTTCCACCTGTTTTTTGACCTGTTTTTTTCAAAAATTTGCCTGTGGCGCAGAAATTTTGGCCAAAACAGCGTCTTTTTTGTGCTTTAGGAAAGCTCGGGAAATCAATTTGGTCGACCTAAAAAAAAGTCGTCAAAATTTTTGAAAAGTTTTTGAAAATCCGCCCCCCCCCTCGAGAAAATCCTAGATCCGCCACTGGATTCAGTGCTGGAATAGATGGTCGAAATCTAATATTCCTTCAAAAAGCAGTTGCATCAGAAATCACCATTTTCACAATATTTATTGTCACGCGGCATCAAGCGTGACAATATCACGCGGCGTCAAGCGTGGTGTATCACATTAAAGCCATGACTCGGATTCTGGGAAAAAAAAATTCACAATTTTTCTCCGAGTCGAGAATGCTCTGTCAGAACTTTTTTTGCAATTTAGACTCAAATTTCGTGAAAAGCAGATGAAATTTATTCAGAAAACAGCATATGAACGTCTAAATCAAGTTTTCTTACAAATATATAAAAGTTAACGAACTTGCTTTATTATGGAACCTCACCGACTTCACGCCTCCTTCTTTTTTGGTCTAGAAGTAACCCGTTTGCCTCGGCACCATAAGTTTCTGGGCTCAAGTTCCGGTCGATTCTGGTATTTTATAATTTTCTATGAAATTGAATTTTTTTCCGTGAAAAGTTCAATTGTGGAACTTTTGTTTGTCAAGTTGCGTTTTGCCGGTTTAAGTGTCACATCTGGTTTAAGTGTCACATCTGTTTAAGTTTCTATGAAATTGAATTTTTTTCCGTGAAAAGTTGAATTGTGGAACTTTTTTTTGTCAAGTTGCGTTTTGCCGGTTTAAGTGTCACATCTGCCGGTTTAAGTGTCCAGGAAGCTGTAACTGAAAAAAATTTGAATACAATTTTGAATAAGAGAGTTTTAGCTAGGCAGATACCTGTGCAATCAAAGGGTAATCAAAAAAACTTCTGTAAACGTTAGAATTAGAAAACTTTTCAATTTTGTTCTAAATTACTACCCAGATTTTGTAACTAAGATTCAGAGCTGCACACAATATCAATTACAAATCTTCAACCATGAGTTTTTGGACAATTTTATTCTAGGAAATTATCAACTGTTTAAACTCATTTTTGAGTAGAATTAGTATTTAAAAAGAAAGATTTGCTGTCAAGGGTAGGTATACTGCTGAAATTTTCCCCTTTTTTCGCTTCAAATTTTTTTTTCTTCTTTAAATCATTAAATCTTTTTTTTTTGATTTCTTGAATAACTATCGATATTTAAAAATAACAGAAGTCATAGCAGGATCAGAGGCGCCTGAAAACGGGCTGCATAGTTCCACGGCGTTCTCGCAAGTGATTTCGTTTGTTTGTAAATGTAGTAACTTTTACAATGAATGGAATGTAATTTGCAAACAATTTATTATTATATTATTACATCTTTTTGACATTTGAGTTTTTCTTTTTATTGTATACTTTTTTCATTGTAACTGCAACTGTGTTGTTTGCTTACTTCTGTAATTTGCAAATTTACTAACCCTGACTTAGTATACTTTCCTTCTTTTTCTGAAAAATTTTGTTCAATAAACCTGAATACTTTTGGCTTATGTTTTTTTGCACTAGTGAAGTTTTTTGTGCTGTGTGAATTGCTTCAATTGCTCGAAGTTTTCTTATGCAACAATTATTAAGTAATTTTTTTTGCTCAATAGGCGTCAACCTAATTTTTGATTAAAAAAACTACTGCATTTTTTGTTTTATCATCTCACTTTGAGAATAATTTTTTGAAAAATTTTGAGATATTTTTATGTTCGAAATTGTCAAAGACAATTGTTTTTTTTTCGGTTATTTTGCTTATTGATGATTAAATTACAGTTTTTTTGGTCTTTTTTTTGTTCATTGATTGGTCAAACTTGCGGCCGAATAAAATGTACTGATTTTCATACAGTCTGGTTTATTGTTATTCATCGTCAATTTTTCTTGAATTTCGAACTTGAACTTGAATTTCGAATTTTGAACCGATGAATCATGAATCTCAATATATCAGAACTTAATTTTATCATGAAAAAAACAGGAAAAATGCTTAGAAAATGTCATATAAAGAAAGGTTTTTGCTGCACAGAGAATTCAAAAAATAGTATCGAAGGACTCACTCAATACTATTTTTTGAATTCTCTGTACAACAAAAGCCTTTAATTATATGACATTTTCCAGTTTTTTTTCCTGTTTTTCCGCAATTGAAATTCAAGTGACCAAAAGTTCAGCAAAAATGTGGAATTTTGCAGAGCTTTTGGTCACTTGAATTTCAATTGCGGAAGTACACTTGTCACTTGCAACTTACAAATGCAGCGAACAACTTTAGAGTTTGTTTTTCCACCTCATTATGTTTGAAATCATCCAAATGTACATATTTTGTCCTCATTAAAAGCTGATTGAGAAAAGGAAAACACTCGCTTTCTATGACATTTTTTTGAAAAATTTATTTAGGGTCTCGAAGATTGGCGTCGTACCATGATCATAGCAGTACAGCAGGTCTTCAGCAAAGAGCTGGGCCATCTATACGCCGAAAAAGTTCTGCTAGGCGCTCTTCTGCCATGCGGAGGTGTGGAGCAGTGGAACGACATGATTAAGTTCGATGAAAAACTGCAGGCTATGGAGAAGAGTCTCTGGGATTCAATGGAGATGTTGCGTGCTGCTGACCGAGCGTCGCTAGCAGCCGAAAATGCTGTGTTGAAGCAACACATGCGTGATATGGAATGTGCGCCGTAAGAAAATTGATGAAATACGCCAATAATTAAAAAACGCAACATTTAAGATCAACATGATAATTTTAAAGACACCACTTTCCAGGGGCGGATTTAGGGAAGGGGGGGGGGGGCGGATGCCCCCTTCTCAGGGATTCGACCCCCTGCCGACCCAAAGGGTCCCCCCTTTGGTACTTTTTAAGAAATCCACTTTTGGCCGACCGACCCTAAAATTTTTCTAAAGGCGCCTTTGGCGCCAATATTTACTAATTTTGAGGGGGAGCGCGGGCCAAAAAAACGCGATTTTTTTGTCAAATTTTTTCAAAAAGTGCCCAAAAACGGCTTTTTTTGACTGTTTTTTCAAAAGTTTGCCTGCGGCGCAGAAAATTTAGCCAAAATAGGGGCAAAACAGTGCTTTGGGAGAGCTCGAAAAATCAATTTGGTCGACCTAAAAAAAAAAAAAGGTCGTCAAAATTTTGGAAAATTTTTTTGAAAATCCGCCCCCCCCCTCGAGAAAATCTTAGATCCGCCCCTGCCACTTTCTGAAGCTTTTTTCTCTGGATCCGTTCGACTGAATTGGTTAAGAATTTAATAACGCAAAACTAAGGCTTCGTTTTTTTTTTTCAGATGCGGCCCTGTGAGTATATCTCTAAATACTAAACCTGTCGCCCTTTATAGCAACTAATATGCAATCTTACGAAATAGTTTGATCAAAACTCCTTCTTTTTGCCGACGAGCATTGCAAATTGGAGCCAATTTTCGGATATTTCTTTTGCCAAAATTTTATTTAAAATTTTATTAAGATCTGACGAAAATTTGATTTAACATGAGGAAACACCTTTGATCTCGTACTGAGGTTTATTCTACCCAGAATGTGGCTAGCTGCAGTCCCTGCTGTGGGGGTGGAGCAGGGGGAGTTGGTGGGCTGGAGAGTGGCATGCACAATATGCACCAGGAGGAGGCGGAGCGACTGAGGGGGGAGCTGTGTCGGGCGAGGGAGAGCAGAGACACATTCGAGAGGGAACTGCACCACTTCAAAGCTAGTCAGTTGATTGGTCTATTTACTCTGATTATTATTCCTATATTTGAATAATTATTGTTTCGACAATGAAGTGAGAAGGAAGTTCATGTCAGAGTGTTTTTTTTCTCTACTTGTTTCCATGCAAAATCAGTTACCACAAATACAGATGAGACGGGGTTAAGTGATTTATCATATCAAGCTCCAGTTATGGTTCGAGCGATGTAAAGAAATTTTCGGCCACGTGCAGAGTTCAAAAACCCCAGTCATGATTCGAGCCCCAGTCATGATAATATTTAAGTGCCAGTCTTGATTCCAGCGATAAAACCTTTCGCCATCCTGCATAGTCCAAGGTTTAGTAGAAGAACCAAACTTTCAATGTCGACTTGCTCAAAAAATCTTTTAATAATGATGAACGATCTCAATAACAATCTAGAAAAATTATAACCAAAACTTGAAAATGCTTGTTTTTGTTTGCTCAGCTTTGCTGATTAAATGAATCTGAAAGAAACATCAATTTGATTTTTTTAGTTTTTGTTATCATTTTCCCAGGAAAAAAGTATATTTAGCCATGAATAAATAGATTAGCATACCAGCTGTTCAACTCAGAGAATCAATGTTGCGGCCATGGTTAAAAATTATATGCAATTTTTTTAAATTGTTTTTCTGGGCTGGTCGATGTTGCCTCGCCCTCAAGCAAAAAGTAACAATCATGGTGGGGAGATTTAGCTCTCATCATTCTGTAAAAAACTGTATTCAATTGCAGTCATTTCTAATGTATTATTTTATTTTTAGTCCAGATCTTGGAGTTACAAAAAAGAAGCACAGCAACCGGCAATTGTTTTTTCTTGCCATCATTCATTTGGCAAATACTTTTGTTCTCAACGAAGATTTTAAACACATACATAATAATTTATAAATAGGTTTGTACATTTTAAGAGTCGATAAGCGTAGTTCAGATTCTTATAATAAGTCTGGATAATTTTTTGTCTGATTGAAAGTTTTTTCAGGCTCAAATTTAATTTTTACGCGCTTTGATTTTTGGTTTAAATTTGAGTTCAGATCATTTGCTTAGTTAAAAATAGAGAAAGTTCCACTATCGAAAAGCAAAAGTCTAAAGGTGACAAAACGTGATTAAAAGTCGGTGAACATATTGTGATGTTCCCTAAATCTTATCTGAAAACTGAACTAATAATACAGTTGAATTAATAGTTAAGTTAAATAAGTAAGTATGGATTATTGAATAGAAGGTAACTATAACCTTTCAATAGCTAACAAAGAGTGAGTCCTGGTTTTAGCACCACCAAGCTGTTAGATCAAAGACATGGTTGGCAGGTCTCTAATTCGCATTAACCAAATGATCTCTAACATGATGCTAACATGATGCATAGTTCATTTTTTACGTCCTCTATCCTAGGTGGTCAACTCACTACCACCACACATATTTCCGCCTCTTATATAGGTCGCGATGATTTTTTTTTGTTTTTTTTTTCAGGAGAAGCCTTGAAATTTTTTCAGGCTCATTTATACTTTGTGATTTATACAAAGTTGTTTGACTTGTGATTTCTTTTTAAATTCAGTTTATTTATTTTATTAAAGCAAACTAAACTCCAGTATTAAGCAGCCTAATTGTAAAGCGCACAAAAACCGTTCTAGATCGACTTCTATTTTTGAAAAGAGAATTTGATTTCAGACTAAACAGCGAAATAAAATTTTTACTTATCGATCTGGGATAATGAACGCGCAATACATTGAATTGTTATAGCAGGTGTAAGCGGGGAAGTAAATCGTTTTATAAGCATTGCATTAAATCGCTTAGATACACGACCTTAACCTTTTTGTTCTTTACACAACGTGTGGGGAGATGAAATGAAGAACAATTTTTTGTTCCGACTTTCGATACGAAAGTAACGGAATGTTTGTGCTCGGGGTGGGTTTTTTTTTCTTCAGACAAATTTCGACTTTTCAACTAGCCATTTTTGACGGAATTTTTTTATATCATTCGAAAGGTATTGTTGTCCTGAGCTCAAATTTGAAAACATATTTCACCTGTGATCGATTCTCGTAAAATTACGGGGATTTAAAGATTGCCATTTTGGCCAATTTGGGACAATTAACGGGCGATATATTTCGCGCCATTAAAGCGTAAACGGAGAGTTAATCCATCATAGAAATCGTTCCAAATTGGTCAAAAGAAGCTTATTTTCCATAATTGGTTTGTTACAAGGAGCGAAATCTATCCTATCCCTTTGTACTTTATGTGGCGTGTGGGGGGATGATTTTCATCAAAATTTCAAATTTTAGAATTTTTTTTTTCATTTTGTTTTATTTCATTGAATTTTTTAATGTTATTACTACTCCATAAACCTTAAAAGGCAGTCGGAACATTCAGGGCTTCGCCCTGATACGAGCAGTCTTGTTTTCTTTTCGATTACTTTACCTTTTTTTTCAACAAAAATTTTTCAAAAGGCCTGTTTTGACGTTTCGAAAGGGGAATTTAGTTTTCAAATTTCACAGAAAAACAAATTTAATTTATTGATTCTGTGTTCTCAAATTGGGTTCGTTTTATCAAAAATTGCTTGTTAAAAACTGGCAAAATTCAAAAAACTTTAAGGCATCTATGACGGAACCACAAAAGCATCCATAAGTTTCTGCTACAGAATCCTTCTTTGAAAAAATATTTCAAAAAAAGGGACTGTTTTTTTTGTTTATTTGCATTTTTGTTGCCTTTGCCTTTGTTCTTAATGTTCTAAGGCATTGTTTCTGCAATCCAAAGAAAAAGTTTTTCCTGTATTTTGTCATTTTTGTTGTGGACTTCGTGGACAACTGCGTTTGGCTGTAGATGCATGTTTCCCGAAATATCTGGGTTTTGCATTTTCCTTCCCCTAAATGGTGATTTCTCTATAGCGCTGCTCTATTCCCGAGTTCATTGACGTTTCTTGGTGTTCGCATTTGTCCCTGAAACTCAAAGTAACTATGGTTGAATAAAGGTCACTAAAATCAGCTTTGTACCTAGACTCCTCTTAATTGCTTGCTAAATGTTCAAAAAAGACCGCTCGGATCAGAGCAAACCCCTGAATGATTTGTCTGCCCATTAACTATTCTCGATTTTTTTGCTATTCTCGATTTTTAGACGATAATATCAAAGTTTAATTGTTGAAACTTGAGCCATCTATGAAATTAATAAGACTAATTAGCGTGCTTTTTTTCAATTTGAAAAATTAATTAGTGCTCTTTAGTTCGCGACGCATGAATAATTCGCGTCACTTTTTCAACATCAAGTTATTAAAAGAGCAGGTTAACTAGACTCGTCGCAGAGCGACCGTAGAGATTGGCTTGAGACTATATTGGTGTGGGAAATTGGCGGGCCCACAAAGATACGGATTGATTCGCCTAAAAAAACAAATAATTTGAAAAATTTTCCGAGTAGAAAAACCCAACCCGAGCGTATATAGTAGTAAAACCCAACCCGAGCGCGAAAAATACTATGTCATTTGTTGGCATTAGACTTCAAAGCACTTGCAAAAAATAGTAGAGTTCTGTACAAAATTACGAATTCCAAAGGCTATTCTATGTGATTCAGCTTGCTACCAAATTGCCAAGTTTCGCGTGGTAATTGTTCCCACTTACAAAAAAAACATGGGGTATTTGGCTGGTTTTTTGATCCGACATGAGAAGAAAATGTGGATTATTTATACAACGTGTGGGGAGATGAAATGAAGAACAAGTTTTTATCCCATGGGTTTATGATTATTATGATTATTGCTCCGACTTTCGATACGAAAGTAACGGAATGTTTGTGCTCGGGGTGGGTTTTTTTTTCTTCAGACAAATTTCGACTTTTCAACTAGCCATTTTTGACGGAATTTTTTTATATCATTCGAAAGGTATTGTTGTCCTGAGCTCAAATTTGAAAACATATTTCACCTGTGATCGTTTCTCGTAAAATTACGGGGGTTTAAAGATTGCCATTTTGGCCAATTTGGGACAATTAACGGGCGAAATATTTCGCGCCATTAAAGCGTAAACAGAGAGTTAATCCATCATAGAAATCGTTCCAAATTGGTCAAAAGAAGCTTATTTTTCATAATTGGTTTGTTACAAGGAGCGAAATCTATCCCTTTGTACTTTATGTGGCGTGTGGGGGGATGATTTTCATCAAAAATTTCAATTTTTAGAATTTTTTTTTTTTCATTTTGTTTTATTTCATTGAATTTTTTAATGTTATTACTACTCCATAAACCTTAAAAGGCAGTCGGAACATTCAGGGCTTCGCCCTGATACGAGCAGTCTTGTTTTCTTTTCGATTACTTATCTTTTTTTTCAACAAAAATTTTTCAATAGGCCTGTTTTGACGTTTCGAAAGGGGAATTTAGTTTTCAAATTTCACAGAAATACAAATTTAATTTATTGATTCTGTGTTCTCAAATTGGGTTCGTTTTATCAAAAAGTGCTTGTTAAAAACTGGCAAAATTCAAAAAACTTTAAGGCATCTATGACGGAACCACAAAAGCATCCATAAGTTTCTGCTACAGAATCCTTCTTTGAAAAAATATTTCAAAAAAAGGGACTGTTTTTTTTTGTTTATTTGCATTTTTGTTGCCTTTGCCTTTGTTCTTAATGTTCTAAGGCATTGTTTCTGCAATCCAAAGAAAAAATTTTTCCTGTATTTTGTCATTTTTGTTGTGGACTTCGTGGACAACTGCGTTTGGCTGTAGATGCATGTTTCCCGAAATATCTGGGTTTTGCATTTTCCTTCCCCTAAATGGTGATTTCTCTATAGCGCTGCTCTATTCCCGAGTTCATTGACGTTTCTTGGTGTTCGCATTTGTCCCTGAAACTCAAAGTAACTATGGCTGAATAAAGGTCACTAAAATCAGCTTTGTACCTAGACTCCTCTTAATTGCTTGCTAAATGTTCAAAAAAGACCGCTCGGATCAGAGCAAAACCCTGAATGATTTGTCTGCCCATTAACTATTCTCGATTTTTTTGCTATTCTCGATTTTTAGACGATAATATCAAAGTTTAATTGTTGAAACTTGAGCCATCTATGAAATTAATAAGACTAATTAGCGTGCTTTTTTTTCAATTTGAAAAATTAATTAGTGCTCTTTAGTTCGCGACGCATGAATAATTCGCGTCACTTTTTCAACATCAAGTTATTAAAAGAGCAGGTTAACTAGACTCGTCGCAGAGCGACCGTAGAGATTGGCTTGAGACTATATTGGTGTGGGAAATTGGCGGGCCCACAAAGATACGGATTGATTCGCCTAAAAAAACAAATAATTTGAAAAATTGTCCGAGTAGAAAAACCCAACCCGAGCGTATATAGTAATAAAACCCCCAACCCGAGCGCGAAAAATACTATGTCATTTGTTGGCATTAGACTTCAAAGCACTTGCAAAAAATAGTAGAGTTCTGTACAAAATTACGAATTCCAAAGGCTATTCTATGTGATTCAGCTTGCTACCAAATTGCCAAGCTTCGCGTGGTAATTGTTCCCACTTACAAAAAAAACATGGGGTATTTGGCTGGTTTTTTGATCCGACATGTGAAGAAAATGTGGATTATTTAGGCCTATGATTGTTTTTTGTTCAGTCAATGTTCAATTTTTAACAAAGCATTTTTGATAAATTTGCTTATATAGCATCTGAAACATGTTGTTGACTTGAACTCAAATATAAAATTTTCTTAAGATCATTTTTCGTAAGATTATGGGGGCTTGAATATTGCTAATGTGCCCGAACTGGGACAATGAAAGTACGTTATAATGAGTTCTTATAACAGGGGTAAGCGGGAAAAAAATCGCTTCAGTGGATTTAATCGTTAAAATACAATACACTAATCCTTTGTTAGCTTACATAGCATGTGGGGGAGGGGGATAAAATGAAAAAATATATATATAAAATGAACTTTTTTCTCTTTTCGATGGTTTCGGCAGTCTTTTCTTATCTTGTACCTGCATTATAATCAACACATCCAAAACTATAAACTGGAGAGCCAACTACCATGCTGCTCTGGTCCTGTTTTCAGAGGCAGAAGATGAGATCAACCACCTGAAGCTGGAAGTGGATTCATTTGGATCTGAGAATGAGAGACTTCACAAAGAGCTGCACTCTTTGCAGAACCAACTGTGCAAGGCAGAGGACAAGATACACGAGCTGGAACACAGACTCAAGGACGCACTTCAGATCATATCACGTTAGACATTCACCACCTCATTGAAGTTGTGATTTAGCGGGTGGTTTTTACCAAGTGATGAAGTATTGGAGTCGCATAATTTGAAGACCAAGTATCACGCCACGATTCTTACAAGTTTATGTACGTCGATCGAAAGTGTTTGAATTCAAATAATAGATCGTACAGTTAACTCCATGTTAAATCTCGTGAGTCTAGATATCGTCGCGTGACCGTTTTGAGGTATAGCCCAAGAAGTCTATGAAAAAACCGCCTGAAGTTCTGTACAAATTTCCATGGAGCCCTGAACAAAATTGGAGCTGTTTTCATGCGGTACTTATTGATAATTTTTTTTCTGATTTAAACTTGAGGTTTTGGTTTTCGTTTCAGAATTCGAGGGCAATAACTATGAAGTAAGATGATTTCTTGACTATCTGCTTATACTTCGATTTCTAAGTTTCTCGGGATATTACGCTATTCAGTGAGACTTTGCCTGGAATAAAAAACCTGATCGAATTCATCACTTTTAGACCATGAAAACAGCATTTATTTTCTCAGATTTTGGTCTATTTTGGTACAGTTTAATTAAAGTAGAGTTTTGCTAATTATTTCACATATTTAGGAGCAGATTGCGGCACTGCAAGCGGAAGTGCACGCTCTCAAGGCGACATTGGAGAACCTCTCGTTTGGCATGTCAGTCCTAGAGAACGAAAGAGACGAGTTGTTGGCGGCATTGAGATCTCGCGATGGAATCAAGGAGGAACTGGAGCATGAGGTCAGACAACTCGCACTAGTATTTCAATAAATGAGGGCATTTTGCTAACAAGAATAGCCGATTGCTCTCCAAATAGCACCAAAATTCTGATAACAGTTATTATTTCTCGGCAAACTAAAAAAAAACATTTTCTAGTTTTTTGTTGTTCTTTTGCCGGGAAACTGGCGGAACGGACATGAATAAGCTGTACGCACTAATTGTCAATAATTGAAACAATTTAAATGAATAATTTACTTAATTTTTACTTAATATTTAAGCCTGCTGACTTGGTGAGCAAGTGAAAATGAAATGGGGCTATTCTGATCAGCAAAATTTTTCAGATGTCGTTTTCTTGAACCCAAATTATTTTCGGACAATTTTTATACAGTCCAAATCATGACTGAAAATGCTTCAATATTTTATTTCAGTTGCGCTTCTACGACAACATAGTCTGGTATCTGATTTAGAAAATTATACGCAGCGAAAAAACCCGAAATATAAGGCTCACTTTCGCTTGAAATGCAAGATGTACAAAACTTATCCAACATCAATTGTCCAAAACATCGGTGGTTTTTTTTTTCAAAAAAACTCCTAGATAAAACTTACGAAAAAATATGCCGTCAGTTTTTTTAAGCAAGCAGCGTTTAGTTTTGGGAAAACTTCAAATAATACCCCATCGAAGTAGCATATTATTACAATTTCTGTATAAATTATTGAAATAAATGCTTTTTTTAAAACAATTTTGGCGATCAAAATCATAGCTGTCAGCAAAAATTGTTCATACCCCTATGACAATATTGTCTACCGTGAGTTCATATTCAAAATATTTTACCTGAAATCCTATTTGGTAAAGTTTTGGGCTTTTAAATTAGAGGCGCCTGAAAACGGGATGCAACTTGCCATGGCATTTTTGCAATAATGTTTCTTTTTGATGAAAAAATTTTAAATTTTACAGCCAATTGCCTACAGTTTATTATATAATATTATGATCGTTTGACCATAATCTTGGACTAATTTATGCGCGCTCTTATTATTTTATCTATGATGCTGGAGAAATTAGAAATATTGTTCAGGATGGCAAATTATCTCGAACTAAAAATCATTTCAAGTTGCACCGAGGCAAGTTTTTGGGAATGGAAAAGACCAGCAAAGTCAAAATTTTAAAATTGATAGTTAATCAAACTTTCTTACCAAAGAAATACGAGACCAGTTGAGCGGCATTCAAAACTTTCAAATCTGTCCAAGCTTAGTATGTTTCTTTTATTTCCTCACATTCCAGACTGAGTTTTTATGATTCGCCAGGCTCTTTTTTGCAACTCAAGGACGTTTTTTGCGACTAAAAATTTATCGTAGTACCTAAAAACTGTCAAACTCTCGTCCTCAAACACTGTCGTCGCCATCGCAGCGGATCGCATATACGATCTGACGATCTCAAAATGAACGCTTTACCAATATGCTAAGTGCCCAAGATCCTAAGTGAACTCTACTTATTACTACCTTCGGTTTCGTTTTTGATAGGGTTTAATTAAAAAAATAATTTTTAGTTTTCGTCAATTAAAAACCAAATACTAGCCACTTATTGCAAACAATCTGAAAAACAACCAAAGAAAAGCATTAAATCAATTATTGCTCTTTATTTAAACTTTTTTTTGCAAAACAAATTGATATCTTCGAGATCAGGTACTTCAAATTACCGCACCAAACCGAGTTTCCAACTTTCGAAGCAAAAATTTCTGGAAATTTGTAAATAAATAATGACATATATTGTAAAAAAAACTACTTTGTTTGCTCTCCTGTTTTTTTATAAGAGAGTCAAAGCTTTTTTAGAATATATTTGTCAAATTGTATTTTTTAAAATCAAAATTTGAGTTAATTTTTTTCCGCCCAAAGTTTAATTTCACGTTCTGTCCTCAGGTGTTCTGTCTGGAGAGTAGGATACGTGAAATGGACTTTGAAGAAGTGAAGAGGTTGAACGGGGTCATCCAAGACATGCAGTGTCAATTGCACAAGAAAGAGGAAGAGTAAGTTGATCAAAACTTCAAAAAACATTTAAAATGATATAAAATCAACCCTGTGAGATGATTTTAAAATAATTCAATATCCAGTGAAGAAACAACATTTTGCGAAGCGGTCAGTTTACCTACACACACTATCGGAGAATTTTAATTGAATTCTTTTTTGGCGTGCCTGAGTAAAAATCCAAATTTCAAGACGAGATATGTTTGGTTGATTAGTTTCACGGCTAGTCTAAAGAAATTAAACCCCATTATAGACAAATATGATCTGCTTCTTGATAATTTTTCCAAAAACACTTCGCTCCAAAATTGAATTTCTGTGGCAGGCGGTGAAATAAATGGGCAAAGAAGACCAAGTATTCTCCAGAGTCAGAATAAGTATCTATGTGATTTGAACAAACTCTTTAGACTGGGCTGCATCAAGCGTGACCAGGAGTGTTGTGTGCGGGAGAACCGGAACATGTGCATGCAGCTACAGGACACCCAGCAGTGTCTGAGGGACTGCGAGAGGGAGTTAGATGAAACGAAGAGAGAGATAGACAGACTCAAGTGCAATCTGCAGAAGCTGCAGGACACCGAATGCTGTCTCAAGTCCAGTAAGCATGCATTTTAACGCGTGTGGTATCTTTTTGATATGTTTTGTTTTTTATGACGGTTTTTGATAAATCTATTTAAGCAGGTCAGCTTCAATGTATACAAGCTGTGTTCTGTAACCTATTAAAAAAGTAACTAGAGGTTATTAATTTAACTTTTTAATAGTTTTTCCGTCGTCTTTCTTTTTTCAGACGTGATCGAACTGCAGAAGAGAATTGACCAATCAGTGGACGAGAACCTCACTCTGAATGCGATAGTGGGATCCCAGCAGGCAGTCACAGAAGAGGCACACAAGACTGCCAAGAGACTGCAACACCAACTGACCCAACAGATAGAGAGACTGAGGATGGATCTAGACATAGGAGAGAGGAACCGACACTTCCTGACTGAAAGGATCAAGGCGCTTGAGGTATCTACATTTCTTGAAGACCTCATTAAGCTATCTTGCAGACCTCATTGAAGACCTATCTTTTTATTATTATTCAATGCATATATAATTCAATGCTGTTTGAGGGTCATCGCAATTTGAAGTCATCTTCTTTCACTGCTTTGAAAAATGTATATTGACTTTGTTACTACTCTCAATTTATAGATAGTTTGAAAAAAATCTTTTATCGTTTTGCGGTGCATTTTGCCATTCGTGTTGAACGATGTTTTTCAGGGGTTTGCCTGCAATTAAAGGCTCCAAAATACACAAAATTTTGCCCGTTTTGAAGTGCAAGTGTTAAGATAATTATACAATTAATCTATTTTTCAGGCTGAAAACGAAGCTCTGAAAGTTGAGGTGCGAATGAATCGAATCTACGGCAACAACCAGTTTTGCAACAACTGTCGGCAACAAGATGACGACAACTGACATCATCGTAACCGAATCACGGAGCAAAAAAAAACAAATACCGAGATTGCGAACTTATTATTTAGGTCGTAAGCTGGTTCAAATTTTCTATTGTAAATAAAATAGTTTAGTAAGGCTGTTTTTATTGTAAAAGCAGTTCAAAGTGTATAATAATGTAAATGGTCAAACTAAGTGGGTAGTAAATTCTGTTTATGGTCAATATTGAATAGAAGCTGAAAACTGTCGGTGTAGAATTGTAATTCAGAAGTAATTATCAAAAGAAGAGTATCAAAGAATGACTGAAAATTTGTAGCAAGAGTGCATTCATTAGTTCAAAAAAATATCAAACACGCTGAACTCTTCGGTGTTTTAAAAAAGTATTTTCTTAAGAAGGAAAAAGAATTTCTAAATTTTCTGACGCAATGCTGCAATCTAAGGCAAATGAATGCAAGGGTGGCTCCCAGTCATTTCCGCCCCATTCACTTCCGCTCCAGTCGTTTCCGCCCCAAAAGCAGCCATTTCCGGAAATGGCTGCTTTTGGGGCGGAAATGTCTGGTCACGGCAAGGGTTTCAAAGAATGAGATAATAATGCGTAAATAACCCAATTCCTAAAAAAACATGAGTCTGGAAACCACTTAGCGGTAGATTGGAGAGTATCAAAAAATTTCAGACCTGGTTGATTTTTAAATATAATTCAAAAACAAATTCAATAAGTTCAAAAGTACTAGCTCACTTTAAGTTTAAAAAATCAAAAATTTATGATTTGTTACTGCGACGGGTCCGGCGCATTAATGAATCAGATAATATTCCCAAAATTTAAGGTGGATCCTGTTTTATTTTGACCTACCAAAAAAAATTTTGACGCTGAATCAACGTTGCCGCCAATTGTTTTATGAGATTTAAATAATTCATATCTAAAAAAAATCAGTTGTTTTCTTGCGTTTTTCTGCAGCACAAAGAAATCATCAATATTTTAAGCTTTCTGTGGCTATAGTTGCTCCGGATTGCTTTTTGCATTGACTGAGTTTTTGATTATGTCGTGAGGCGACCTTCGGTACCTCGTAAGTTATTTGTTCTTTTGCAGTCATACTGCAAAAGACACTAATTATATTAACCAAGGTCACTGTTAACCTCTTTTGTCAATACCACGCTGAGCGTGTTTTTCATTCTATATCTGTTATCACTACTGTTTGTTAGTAAATCTGATTCTACATATTCACATGATCTATCGGGATAAATTTCCTAAACCAAGACTATATCTGAAACTAAGCATCAAACTAACTCAAACTAACAAATTATATAACCTTAAAACAATTTACTTATTGTTCAGCAACCAAGTTTTCATTCTAAAACTCCGGCAAATCTCATGGCGCAGCCAGCAGTTCCTGTGAACGAAGACAGGAATGACTTGTTAGGCATTCCTCCCTATTGGGCGAAAGCCTCTATTAACCCACCATTCCTGTGGGAATCTTGGATCGGTCAATTTTTTTTGGCCGCTGGTCTGAAGGATAATATCAATCCTCATTATCTGTTAGTTGAACCCACCGAGGTCATCGACGAACTTCCTCCAAGACCGGAGTCAGTTGCTGAGGGCGAAGATGCTGGAGCAGCTAATGCCCGCAGACAGAGAGATCAAGCGGCGATCAGGAGAATTACCGAACTAAACGTGGAGAGGAGGAGAAAAGTCAGAATTGGTTCTATCATGAAGCCGAAGCTCGTATGAAGTCTCGTTTATTCTTTGCTCTGGGAAATGAAGGGAGGAGACGATTCGCTGACTCATTTCCCCTCATGGACATTAGTATTATTCCTTTTCGGGAATTCCACACCGGATGTGAAACGCTGTTCAAGGTTGAGCGAGAGTTTACGGTGGAGCGTATCAAGCTGTATAACACGGTTTTCATGCTTGAAATTGACACTTTCGCGTCATTATACGCTCGCTTGAGCGCCCAAGTGGCTTTGTATAATTGGCCTAATGATCAGGAAAAGGAGACTTTAAAAGACCTCTTTATTGGGCGGATTCGAGACGTTGAGGTTCAACAACAACTCATCAAGGCGAAAGCTGATCTAGATGGTACTTTTAGGCTCGCACTCGAGTGTGAGAAGGGAGCAAGTACGTCGGCTCAGTTTCAAAAACTTCTTCCTCATAATCAACATTCAACCGGCATTAAGGTTAAACAAGAACCTACTTGCTCTATTCGGTCGTCGAGAGGGAAGCGGAATTACCCTCAAACCCAAACTATGCGACAGACGTTTCAAAATAATCAAACAAGTAAATCATGTTACTTCTGTGGTAATCCTTATAGCCCGGAGCACCGAAAATCTTGTCCAGCTCGCGACGTAACATGTAATCTCTGTCGGAAACGAGGTCATTTTGCGAAATGTTGTAACTCGTCGAAACGACGTGTCAATCTGGTGCAGGAAGATGAGGACGTGGCAGGTCCCTCTGTGGATTGCAATTTCATAGATGTAGACCAAGATAGTGAGCCCGAATATGGGGTGTTACAGTTTGAATCTGCTGTCATGATTAATATCATAGAAACTCTTAAGTCAAGTGGAGGACAACCTCGGAGCCTCAGTATTCAGTTGCGCTCTGGTTACAATTTTTTCTATTTGACAGTAGACACAGGAAGCCCAGTTTCGTTCCTGAATAAACGCACCTGTGATTTACTCCTGGAAAGAAGTCCATCAATTGAGTTTCGCGATATCACACGTTACCCTATCGATACCTTGTATGTTGACTATAATAAGAAGCCCATTCGCCTCCTGGGGTCGATTCAAATTCCAATTTCCTCTAGTGGCTGGAGGGTGGCTAACGCTCAGTTCCTCATCTCGGAGAATAGAACTCGTAATCTTCTCGGCTTGGACTTGCAGAGAAACTGGGCTTTGTAACCACACAATTGAAGGCAGAAACAATCCAGTTGGTGGATTCTGGCTCCTCAGATCCGATTTCTGAATACTGGTTTTCTTTTTTTTGCAAAGAAGTACGCTCATGTCTTCAGTCGTTTGGGTCGATCAAAAAGTCATAAAGTATACACTAATTTTAAATTCCCATTGGTGCCACGTCAAGTCAAAGGAAGAAAAGTTCCTATTCATATTCAAGATAGGGTCGCGAGTGAGATAAAACTCTTGGTGGAGCAAGGTCATATTGAAAAGTTAGGTAAGTGCACGACTGATTTCTTCTTTGCCCCGATTGTGCTAACTGCAAAAAAGGATGGATCTATCAAATTGGCTCTCAATGCTAAACCGATGAATGCTCAGATCTGTAAAAATAAGTACCAGATGCCAAAAATTCACGAGCTTATTGATTTCGCGCACATGTCATAACTCGAAATGTTCCTGGTAAGGTTTGGTTCACGTCCTTGGATCTAAAGTATGCGTTTAGTCTGTTACCACTGTCATCACTCACTAGCAGTCACTGTAACTTCAATATTTTGTGTGGCGAGGCGACTGGAACGTACCGCTTAAAGACCGGGTTTTATGGACTGACAGACATGCCCACCGAGTTCCAGAAGGCAATGGATTGTACCTTACAAGGGCTGGAAGGAGTTATTTGTTACCTTGATGACATTTTGATTGTCACTAAAGGAGATATCAAAGAACATAACGAGTTGGTCGAGAAAGTTATGTAGAGGCTTGATGCGGAAGGATGGGCCCTCAAAATGAGTAAGTGCGAATTCTCTGTTAACCAACTAACTTGGCTAGGGTATGACATTAATGAGAATGGGTACTCTCCAAGATTTCCAAAGATCGAGGCAACTCAATCGCTCAAACCACCGCGAACTCTAAAACAACTTCGGTCATTCATGGTAACGTTAAACCATTTACAAAGATTTATCCCTGATTTGCATACCCATACTGTTCTTTTCCGGGCCTCATTGAAGGCTTGTTATAAACAATCGTTCCTCTGGGGTGATGATCAAAGTAAAGCCTTTCACGATATAATCAAGTTGATTGCGAAAATTCCGAGCCTGTATCACTTCGATTAATCGAAGGGATCGAGAGTAAAATGCGACGCGAGTCATAATGGCTTAGGTGCTTGCCTCGAACAGGAAGTTGAACCGAAAATTTGGGCCCCAACTGCTTTTGCTTCGCGTTTTCTCAATAACACGGAGGTTAAATATAGCACTAAAGAACTGGAGTTATTGGCTATTGTCTGGGCTTGCGAATATTTCCGTACTTATTTG